GTGCTGAGCATAATTATTTATTTTTAGAGACAAAGTCTCACTCTCTCGCTTTGGGTAGCGTGCTATGGCATTGTCATAACATACAGCAACCTCAAACTCTTTGGCTCTACTGATCTTCTTGACTCAGCCTCCTAAGTAGCTGGGACTATAGGCCTCTGCACCTGGCTAGTTTTTCTGATTTTAGTAGAAACAGGGTCTCATTCTTGCTCAGGCTCATCTCAAACCCCTCCTGCCTTGGCCTCCCAGATTGCTAGGATTACAGGTGTGAGCCACCTTGCCTAGCCCAATTTTCTTGACTATTCTATATTTTCCTTTAGTTCTTTAAGCATCTTTAAGTAGTAGTTTTCAAGTCTAAGTTTAGTAGATCTGCAATCACATCTTTTTTTTTCTTTTTCTTTTTATTATTATTATTTTTTTAGAGACAGAGTCTTACTTTATCGCCTTCGGAAGAGTGCCTTGGCATCACAGCTTACAGCAACTTCCAGCTCCCGGGCTTAGGCAATTCTCTTGCCTCAGCCTTCCGAGTAACTGGGACTACAGGTGCCTGCCACAATGCCCAGCTATTTTCTGTTGCAATTTGGCCGGGGTCGGGTTTGAACCCACCACCCCCAGTATATGGGGCTGGCACCCTACTCACTGAGCCATAGGCACCATCCCTTTTTTCTTTTTTTTGAGACAGTCTTATTCTGTTCCCTGGGCTAGAGTGCTGACATCAGCCTAACTCATAGCAACCTCAAACTCCCAAGCTTAAATGATCCTCATTCCTCAGCCTCCCAAGTTAGCTACAGTACTACAGGCATCTATCATGACACCCAGCTAATTTTATCTTTTTCTTTTTCCTTTCTTTTCTGTTTTTTTTTTTTTTTAGAGATGGAGTCTCCCTCTTGCTTAGGCTAGTCTCAAAGTCCTGAGCTCAAAGGATCCTCTTGCCTCAGCCTCCCAGAATGTTGGGATTATAGGCATGAACTATCAGGTCATCTTCAGTGGCACTTTTTTTTTTAAATTATTTTTTATTAAATCATAACTTTGTACATTGATGCATTTATGGGGTTCAGGGCACTGCTTCAATATACAATGTGAAATATTTACATTGAACTAAGTAACACATCCATCACAATTATGCTCATTTCTTAATAGTTTTGAAATGTACCATTGCATCATGACATTAGGTGAGGTCCCCCCAAATACTCTCCCTCCTCCCACATCCCGCTTCCCCTCCCTACTCTCTCCTTTTCCCTTCTACTTTCTGGACTATAGTTATGTTTTACCATTTGTCTGAGTGTGTAGGTGGTTATATATTGATTTCAAGTAGTATTGAGTACATTGGATACTGATACTTTTCTTTTTTCTTTTCTGTTTTTGTGTTTAAGAGATGAGGTTTTGCCATGTTGCCCAGAATGGATTTGAACTCCTGGGCTCAATCGATCTTCCCTCCTCAGCCTCACGAGTTTCTGGGACTACAGGCATGTGCCATCACAGCTAGCTTCAGGGATACTTTCTGTTGATTCATTTCTTTCCCCTTTAAGTGGGACATATTTCACTGCTTCTTGGTATGCTTTTTTGTTGAAAACTGGACATTGGAATGTAATGATGTCATAACTCTAGAAATGAGATTCTCCTCCTACCCCTGAGTTTACTTTGTTTTTGTTACTACTTTTGTATATGAGGTCAGACAAAGTTAAGTTCCTCCTAGAAAAACTGCTACATACCTCACTGCTGAGTATCACTAGGGTCAGTGACCTTTGAGGTACTCTCCTTGGAAAGCTATGCACCAATGGCTATGCTTAGTCCACCCTTGAAAGCAGTTTTGAAGCTCTTTTTCTAGAATGGGCATCAGAGCTGTTATCACATAAAGGTCTGACAATTAAGTTTGTGAACTTTTAGTGATGTTCAGTAATGAAGTTTGTATCCTATACATTCCTGTGTCTAGGTGGGGGGACAGATTCCTGGAGCTTATTACTCCATCCTCCTCCCAGAATCCTTTGTGTATAATGTTTTTTTAAGATTTTATCTTACAGATTTCTAAGAAGGTTTATTCTTGGACACTTATATGAGATCTAAGTTTTAATCATCAATTGTATGGTACTGGCTCGGCACCTGTGGCTCAAGTGGCTAAGGCGCCAGCCACATGCACCTAAGGTGGTGGGTTGGAATCCAGCCCAGGCACAGCCAATAATGAGCCTGGGCTGCAACCAAAAAAGTAGCCAGGCGTTGTAGCGGGTGCCTGTGGTCCCAGATACTTGGGAGGTAGAGGCAGGAGACTTGCTTGAGCCCAGGAATTGGAGGTTGCTGTGAGCTGTGATGTACTGCAGGCATCTACAGGAATAGCTATACCTAGGGGAATAACTTGAGGCTCTGTCTCAAAAAAAAAAAGGCTCAGTGCCTGTGGCTGAGGTGGCTAAGGCAACAGCCACATACACCTACGGTGGCAGGTTCGAATCCAGCCTGGACCGCCAAACAACAATGATGGCTGCAACCGAAAAATGGCCGGGCGTTTTGGTGGCGGCCTGTGGTCCCAGCTCCTTGGGAGGCTGAGGCAGGAGACTCGCTTGAGCCCAGAAGTTGGAGGTTGCTGTGAGCTGTGAAGCCAGGGCATTCTACCCAGGGGGCTAGCTTGAGGCTCTGTCTCAAAAAAAAAAAAAAAGTGTGGTACTTGTTAAAATAACTCTGAAAAATTTAGTGTTGATAAAGAGAGGCTTTTATGTGCTGCTATCAGCTGGTAACCCCTAACAACGCAAGAAATAAATTATCTTGAAATATGTACCAGCAATGTGTTTTATTTAAATAATGAGAGTTTTCTGAATATAATCTAAAGGGTTCTTCTTGTTGTTCTATTTATTTTTCTCCAGATGACAGAAAATAACTTTTGGTTGAAGAAGATAGAAATCAGTGTTTCAGAAGCAGAAAAGCGAACTGGAAGAAATGCCATGAACATGCAAGAAACGTACACGGCTTACCTCGTGGAAACCAGGTGCGGGGCGGGAGGTACACAGCTTACCTCGTGGGAACCAGGTGGGGGACAAAAATTACAGCTAGGTTTAGAAAGAAAGCTTTTTTTGGTAGCTATTGATGTAAACTTTGTTACGTAGCACAATTTTTTACAGGTTTTTGTTTTTAGGAATTTATTTTGTTTCTTTACTTTTTAACAGGTGAAGTAAATAGCTGTCTTTTGCTGTGGCAGTCTTGGCAGCTCTAGCTATATTTTAATGTATTCATTTTGAGAGGAGAGGGAAGGTTAGAATTATTTTGGGATCTGGAAACTTGACACATGGTTTGATAGAGTTCTTGATCTTAGAAGCCCTGGGCAGTTTTGCAAAAGGATACTAGGTTCTCAGGATTGTATGGAGTAAATTTAGGTCGATGGAGATGCTTAACAGAGAATTCTAGGAAAGGAAAATAAGGCGTAAGTCACCTTAAGACACTTGGGAGTTACAGAGAAATTAACAGAAAGAAATTTTTTTTTTCCTGATTCAGAGTCTCACTTTTGTTGCCCTCAGTAAAGGGCCAAGTCATAACCTCAAACTCTTGGGCTCAAGTGATCCTCCTGCCTCAGTTTTTCTTTTTTTTAGTAGAGACAGAGCCTCACTCTTGCTGAGGCTAGTCTTAAAATCATGAGCTTAACCGATCCATCTGCCTCAGCCTCCCAGAGTTAGAGTTATAGGATTATAGGCTTGAGTCAACTCGCCTGGCCTTTTTTTTTTTTTTTTTTGAGACAGCGTCTATACTCAGTCACCCTGGGTAGAGTGCTGTGGCATTGTAGCTCACAGAGACGTCAAACACCTGGGCTAAAGCCATCCTCTTGTCTCAGCGTCCTATAGGTACCTGCCACAATGCCTGGTTAGTTTTTCTATTTTTGGTAGAGACAGGGTCTCACTCTTATTTAGGCTGGTCTTGAACTTCTGAACTTGTGCAATTCACCTACCTGGGCTTCCCAAAGTGCTAAGGGTATAGGCATGAGCCGCCTCGCCTGTCTAGAAAGAAAAATTAATTGAGATTGGAGTTTTACAAATTGGGGCAATAGTGAGAATACCCCACATCACAAAATCTCAAAAGCTGCAGATGCTGGCGTGGATGTGGAGAGAAGGGAACATTTTTACACTGCTGGTGGGACTGCAAACTAATACAACCTTTTTGGAAGGAAGTATGGAGAATCCTCAAAGAACTCAAATGAGACCTCCCATTTGATCCTGCAATCCCATTACTAGGCATCTACCCAGAAGAAAAAAAATCATTTTATCATAAGGACATTTGCATTAGACTATTTAGCACAGCTGAATTTACAATTGCCAAAATGTGGAAACAACCTAAAAGCCCAGCAACCCAGGAATGGATTAACAAGCTGTGGTTATATGTGTACCAAAGAATACTGTTCAGCCGTTAAAAAGATGAAGACTTTCCATCTTTTGTATTAACCAGGATAGAGGTGGAACACATTCTCTTAGTGAAGTATCACAGGAATGGAGAAGCAAGTATCCAATGTACTCAGTTCTAATTTGAAGCCAGTAGATGATCTAATGTATACCCTCATAAGAGAAAAACTCAAATCAGTTCAAGGTGGGGCCAGGGGAACAAGGGAAAATAAACAGAATAAAAAGACAATCTAAAGAATGAGACGGGGTGGCACCTATGGCTCAAGGAGTAGGGCACCGGCCCCATATGCTAGGGGTGGTGGGTTCAAGCCCGCCCTCAGCCAAGACAGCAAAAAGAAAAGAAAAAGAAAAAGGAGAGAGGGCAGCACCTGTGGCTCAGTGGGTAGGGCACCGGTCCCACATACTGAGGGTAGTGGGTTTGAACCCGGCCAGGCCCAAACTGCAACAAAAAAATAGCCAGGCATTGTGGCTGGCGCCTGTAGTCTCATCTTCTCAGGAGGCTGAGGCAAGAGAATTGCCTAAGTCCAGGAGTTGGAGGTTGCTGTGAGCTGTGATGCCACAGCATTCTAACAAGGGGGATGAAGTGAGACTCTGTCTCTAAAAAATTAATAATAAAATAAAATATTTTTCTTTTCTTTTTTTCAGGTCAGTTGAACATGCGGATGGTCAAAGTGTCCTAACAGACTCACTATGGCGGCGATACAGTGAATTTGAGTTGTTGAGAAACTACCTTTTAGTTTACTATCCACATATTGTTGTGCCACCTCTGCCGGAAAAACGGGTAAGAGATGAAATGATGGTAGTAGTTTAGAATTATGTAGCACTGAGATTATTCTTAGTGGTTATTTTGTTTCCTAGGCAGAATTTGTTTGGCATAAACTCTCTGCTGACAACATGGATCCAGATTTTGTGGAGAGACGACGGATTGGGTTAGAAAACTTTCTGTTGAGGATTGCCTCACATCCCATCCTGTGTAGAGATAAAATCTTCTATTTGTTTTTAACACAGGTATTTTTCTTTTACTCAGTCTCTCTAAAATATTCATTTGACTTAGTTTCTTTTATGACTGTGGAATGTTTATCTTAAGGATTTTTTTTAACTTATGTGTAGTTTATTTTTTTATAACTGTGGAATTCCACAGTTATTCTGTTATAACCGTGGAATGTTTATCTTAAGGATTTTTGTTAACTTATGTGTAGTTTATTTTTTGTCCTGATTTCAAATTACTAGATCACATCATTCTTTTGGCTAACATATTATTTATACTTTTTTGTTGTTGTTGTTGTTTTTGGCTAGGGCTGGGTTTGGACCTGTCACTTCCAGCATATGGGGCCGGCGCCCTACTCCTTTGAGCCACAGGTGCCACCCACGTTTTTTGTTCTTTTGAGACAGAGTCTGACTCTATTGCCCTGGGTAAAGTATATGGTGTCATAACTCATAGCAGCTTCAAACTCCCAAACTCTTGGGCTTGAGCAATCCTCTTGCCTCAGCTTCCCAAGTAGCTGGGACTACAGGTACCCACCACAACTCCTGGCTAATTTTTTTATTTTAGTAGAGCGCAGGGTATCACTATTGCTCAGGATAATCTCAAACTCCCAGGCTCAGGCAGTCTACTCGCCTTAGCCTCCCATAGTGCTAGGATTATAGGCAGGAGCCACTGAGCCTGGCCCATATTTATACTTAAAGATAGTAAATATAGTACTTTGAGGTATCCTTAAATGATGTCACAATTGGTCTTCAGTTTTTTTAAACACCAACCTATAAAATCCTAGGTCCATTTTTTAGTAATCTTTTGGATTCTGGTGTATATGTTTCATTTTGAAATGAAAAGAATTTCTTTTTTTTTTTGGCTGGAGCTGGGTTTGAACCCACCACTTCCGGCACATGGGGCTGGTGCTCTACTCTTTTGAGCCATAGGCACAGCCTGAAA